GTCGTCCAAAATCGTGAAAAAACGTCATCGTATAGTATGTCGTCAAAAATCATAAAAAATGTCATAGTATAGTATGTTGTCAAAAATTATAAAAAAACATCATAGTATAGTATGTTGTTAAAAATCCTAAAAAAAGTCATAGTATAGCATGTCGTCAAATATCAGAAAAAATGTCATCGTATAGTATGTTGTCAAAAATCCTAAAAAATGTCATAGTATAGTATGTTGTCAAAAATCCTAAAAAAAGTCATAGTATAGCATGTCGTCAAATATCAGAAAAAATGTCATCGTATAGTATGTTGTCAAAAATCCTAAAAAATGTCATAGTATAGTATGTTGTCAAAAATCCTAAAAAATGTCATAGTATAGCATGTCGTCAAATATCAGAAAAAATGTCATCATATAGTATGTTGTCAAAAATCCTAAAAAATGTCATAGTATAGCATGTCGTCAAAAATCATAAAAAACGTCATAGTATAGTATGTCGTCAAAAATCATAAAAAACGTCATAGTATAGTATGTCGTCAAAAATCATAAAAAAAAGTCCTAGAATAGCATGTTATCAAAAATCATAAACAAACGTCACAGTATAGTATGTTGTCAAACATTATAAAAAAACATCATAGTATAATGTGTCGTCAAAAATCATAAAAAAAAAGGTCACAGTATAGTATGTTGTCAAAAATCACAATGCAGCGTGTGTATGTGTGTGTGTGTGTGTGTGAGTGTGTGTGCCCCTACCACAGCTGATGAAAGTCTCCAGCAGCTGCTCTTTGGTCAGGCTCTCCTCCACCTCTACCCTCACCACGTCACAGCCGAGCCCCCCTGCCTCCTGCTTCGACTGGTGGAGAGAAACAGAGGAGGGGAGGGGAGGTTGGGACGAGTGAGACACAAGAGAGGTAAAGAGGGAGCACGTTGCCATGGAAACAAAGGAAATCTACTACTACTACTATGTGCCCAGAGAAATGCAGCAAGAGGAGAATCTGAATGAGCAGAGAGGGCTTTTCCAGGCACATCGCTGCGATCAAAGAGAGTACAGTCGGCATGAAGACATTTTTCCTCCGTCCTTCATTCATTTCATTTTTAAATTTGCAGCAGATCCACATGCACTAAATTACATATATAAAAAATGTATAGAGCTCTAAACCATGGGAAAACTGCAAAAACAGATGACATACAGATAGAATCTGTCCTCTTACTGAACTCATAACAATTAAACACCATCATCAATTATGAGTTTGAGAGAAGACCAACATGTCGTCTTTTCAAACAGGTCACTGTAAATAAAACCTGTTATACTGCATACATTTAAAAATCTAATCTTCATCATAACCTCAAAACATTTTGAAATGCATTCATTTCTACCACTGAATGTCCTGTATCTGCTCATATCATATTTCTGTGCCACTGCAGCCCCTCCCCCCATCTGTTGCCTTTACCATGGAAACATTTCAGATTGAACACTGCAGTGATTCAAACAGCATTACATGAACACATTACCAAATGTGTTCTGATAGTTATAGTGTGACGCAGCCTCACGTCTGTATCACAGCAGTGTCAAGATTAGAGTCACCAATTCAGTATCTGACCAAATGTCTCCCCTTCTGCTCCTGAGATATGACACTAAAACATGATGATGTCATAGTGAAGTTGACCTTCATTATTTTATCCTGTTAGACATTTGAGTGAAAGTCTGTCATAATTAGTGTATGAATTATTGAGGTATTGTTAAAAACTAGTTTTTTGAGGTCACACTGACCTTGACCTTTAATCACCAAATTCTAATCAGTTCATTCTTGAGGTCAAGTGGACGTTTGTGCCAAATTTGCATTAAAAAGAAAATTCCTCAAGGTGATATTGAGATATCATGTTCACAAGAATTAGACAGATGAGGTCACAGTGACCTTGACCTTTGACCTAAGACCACCAAAATCTTTGTTCATCGTCAGGTCCAAGTGGACATTTGTGACAAATTTAAAGAAATTCCCTCAAGTCCTTCTTGAGATATTGCATTCACGAGAATGAGATAGATGCAAAGTCACAGTCACCTTGACCTATGACCACCAAAATCTAATCAGTTCATTGCTGAGTCGAAGTGGATGTTTGTGCCAAATGTGTGGGGGAAAAAATCCATCAAGGTGTTCCTGAGATATCACACCCAAGAGAATAAGAAGTAAACAAGGTCATGGTGACCTTGACCTTTGACCACCAGATCCTAATCAGTTCACCGTTGAGTGGAAAGTGGATGTTTGTGACAAAATTTAAGATTTTCCCTAAAGCATCACATTCACAAGAATGAGACAGACGGGGTCACGGTGACCTGGACTTTGACCTAAGACCATCAAAATCGAATTAGTTTATCATTGAAACTAGGTGGACGTTTATGCCAAAAATGAAAAGAATCTCTAAGGGTGTTCTTGAGATATTCCATTCACGAGAATGAGATGGATGCAAGGTCATAGTGACCCTTAACTGCGGCCACCATATTCTGATCAGTTCATCAGATGTCTGCTTTTCTCATATAGTGGAGCTGGATGACGCCTGGCTTTTTGTGCTCAAAGCACCAAAAAAATACACTGGATGTTTGTGCCAAATTTTAAGAATTTCCCTCAAGCTGTTCTTGACCATATTCATAAGAATAAGACAGACACTGTCTCAGTGACCTTGACCTTGACCTTTGACCTATGACCACAAAATCTAATCTGTTCATTGTTGAGTCCAAGTGGACATTTGTGCCAAATTTGAAAATAATTCCTTCAAGCTGGTCTTGAGATATTGCATTCCCAATGACGTGACGGCTGGACAACCTTAAACATTACGCCTCCAGCCGCAGCTGCTGCTGGCTGTTGCTGTACATGTCATCCTGACCTGTAGATGTCCAGCAGCAGCAGGACTGGACTATAAGTTTCATCATACTGTCCTGAGATATTTTAGTGGTTTGGTGTTTGCATCCAATTTCTGTTCCATTGCATCACACTGTGCAACAGAGCCAAATTTAACTTCTTTGGGAGGTTTCCCAAACTTTTTAATCTCAGAAACCTCGGAGATGAAAAACTCCTCAAACACTGTCACCTCTCATGGTCTGCTCGGACTGTGAATGATTTTCCTTTGAAGAGAAATCACTTTAAGGCAGCTGTACGACAGGTCTCTGCTTCACTCAGACAGCAACATGAACCTGCTCCTCACCTGACTGGACGACTGCACACACACCTCAGTATGTCATCTGTATTTGTCTCAGATTTTAAAATTGGAAGCCCATGATATCTGCTCAGAGAACACTGACAACATCAAATACTGTTTCTAAATATACTGTACGTGTTTAATGAGACATGAGCTGTCTCTGTTTTATTGTTTGTCTCTTTGCCTGTATTAAAGTGTTTTCTAATGTTTTTCATCCACTAAAAGCCAAAACACGGACAAGAACTGCAAATTTGCTTTAGAAGTTCTACATACATCACATCAGTGGTATTTTAAAACAATACCTACATATGTATTGTCACTGTAAAACAAATTGATATATAAAAAATCTTTGATGTGTTTTTATTCCTCTATTAGAGCTGTAATGAAACTGTATTAGCAGCTTCATCAATAAAGATTTACCTGACATGGGTGTTTCTCTCATTTGTATTTGAGATGAATAATTTCTAAACATTTAATATTATGCTCCATTATGAAGATTGAAGCTTGAAGCTTCCTGGATCAGTGTTGGTGAACTGGTGGACCAACCTTGATGCAGTGAGCGACCAGACTGGCGATGTACTCCTGACAGCTGCCCTCCAGCCCGTGAAAGATGAGGTTCCCATACTGTTCCACCTGAACACACAGGCAGAAACAGGTGGATGAATCATGGACTGATCAACAGAAGAGTTCATGATGAGGTAATAATGAAACGATCAGACTTCAGATAACTTCTTTAGAACTGTTACTACTCTATCCCTACAACACTTTTACTACTGGTTCTCTGTCAGTGGTACTCCATCTACACCACCAGTACTTACTCTGTCACTACTGCTATTACTTCTTATCTATAACTACAGCCACTCTATAACCACTACCACCACTACATGATCACTATAAATACTCTATCACTATTTCACCACTATCACTCCTACGTCTACTACTATCATTATCACTACTACACTAGTACTGGTGCTACTACTACACCGTCGACGACGACTACTACCACCATTACTATGACCTATCCTGGTTAAATACAAGAAATAACACTATTGCTATAGCAACTCCATCATTTACTCTGTCACTAATATTACTACTACTCTGTAACTACTACCCACTACTACACTATCACTATAAATACATACCGCTACTCTATCGGTACTAATAGACTATCAGTACTTACTCTATTGCTACAGCCACTACTGCTCACTACCACTACTTTACCATCACTATAAATACTCTATCACTAGGGCTGTAACGGTACATGTATTTGTGTCGAACCGTTCGGTATGTGACTTTCGGTTCGGCACGACCCTGTACCAAATTATTGGGCGCAGGATATTATTTTATTTTATTTTGTTTTATTTTAATTCCGTTTTTGCGAGCCAAACCATTTAAAATATCTAGTTCCCCAACAGACATAACTGAGTGACGGACCGAGTCCGACTGTAAATCTCCGCTTTCACTTTGTGCAGCGCATTCTCGCATTTTGACAACATGGCAAGTGAGCCTGACGAACCTGAAGACCCACCCGCAAACCTTAAGTCCTCCTTTTGGGAACACTTTGGTTTCAGGGTAAAATACGAAGATGGAAATAAACAAGTTGACAAGACAAAAGCAGTGTGCCGACACTGCAGAACAGCGGTCGGGTATGTACTTGGAAACACGTCTAACATGCTAACACATCTAAAGCGACACCACCCGAGTTTGAACGTTAACCGGCACGACTAGAAAAAGCAATCTGGTGCAAATACGATATCGTCGTCGTTTAAAGAGAAAGAGCGTTTCCCTGACCATCACGCTAAAGAAATAATCAACGCCATTGGAGCTGAGTAAAATTGTTTAAGCTGCACTTTAGATATAAGCATGTTTTGTTTACTGCACTTTAACAAAGTGGGAAAGCTAAGTAAGTTCCTAGTAAAACTGAATCTGAGCAGGCTTTAAAGCTGACCAGCTGCACTATACTTTTTATTTTAATTGAGTAAAACTGTTAAAGCAGAAATTTATATTTCTGTTTTTCATTCAAAAAATGTGTTAAAAAACAGCAGGATTTTATTTTTCACTTTTATATTTCTATTTTCATTCGAGCAATGTGAAAAAGCAGGATTATATATATATATTTGTTTCATTCAAAAATTGTGTAAAAACAGTTAACTGCTGTGGTGGTATGTTTTAATAAGGTTACCAATAAGTAAAAGATATTTAATAGTTGTCTATTTTTTTCATTACTGTACGGAAAAAAAACGAACCGTGACTTGTGTACCGAGGTACGTACCGAACCGAGATTTCTGTGTACCGTTACGCCCCTATCTATCACTATTTCTACATTATCACTACTACCTTTCTTCTGTCACTACTACACTCGTACTAGTACTACGACTACAACACTATTACTAATACTACACATTGCTAGTACACAATCATCACCACTACACATTTGTAATACTTCTACTTTTCTATTAAATTCAATTTTATTTCCAAAGCTCAACATCACAAATGTGGAAAAATGACTACTACATCATCAGCATATTATCAGTACTATCACTTGTCTACCCTCACTACACTACTACTAAACTATTACTACTACTACACATCTATTACTAACATACTACTGCCACTACACTGTCATTACTCTATTATCACTACAACCACTCATCTATCACACTGTTACTTTACTAACTCTCTCTTGATTAATAACTGATTAGTTGATCTACAGAAATTAATGGTCAGAATAAAAACATGTTGGTTACAGCTTTACCAAGATAAATTGTTGCTATCCCTCCTTCTTATTATATTCATATTAATAAAATATTAAAATGATTAATTGATTACATAGAAAATAATAACCTGCTTCATTAATAATAAATCAGTTGCAGTCTAAAGCTGTTTAACTCAGCTGCATGCTGCAGTACTGATCTGAGCTGTGCAGCATGTGTCACTGTCAGACTGGAGTCACTGTGGATCAAAGCTTCAGCTGACCGTCACAACATCTATAAATCAGACATGAAAAGTGGGATTAAAAAGCTTAACAGACGCAGCTGGATAAAATCTGAGCCTGGAGACGCTTCAGCTTCACAGTGTGTGACGTCACTGATGTTTCTTTCATCTGCAGGTTCCATCATGTGTTTTATTGCTCTCGTAAAATGTAAATTGATGATTGTGACTCCCTTCAGCTCCGCGTCTTTGCCTCCACACAGCCAGCAGAGGGCGCTGTAGCTGCACTTTAATCCTCTCTTTCTCCGTCTCCTTTCATCCATCCATCACCTCTTCTCTCCTCTGCCTTTCACTACCACTCTCCTGGTGCAGTCTTCCAGCTTCCTCCCTATTTTTCGACTTCTTACTCATTTAATCCCACAATCTCTTGCAGTCCTTTGTGTGTGTCTGCATGAGCATGTGTGTGTGTGTGTGTTTGCGTACCAGGCGGACATAGTTGTGCAGCAGCGGCAGAGGGAAGAGGTATTCCAGAGCCAGCTCATCGAGACACGACTCAGACAGACCTGTCAAAAACACACACGCATAAAATTCACACAATAAATCCTCAGATCCGCTGCAGTTTACACGCTCAGTGTCGACAGCCGACAACCAGCAGCTCCACGGTTACATCACACAGCTGCAAACCTCAAGGTGCCCTTGTCCTGAAACTTAAGACGCCACAGGTGCAGTGCCCACAATACTCAACAGCTGTTCATCCTCAGGTGCTTTTCAACCTGCGATGTAATAATCATGAGCGCTGCTGTCAGTTAATTAGAACAGAGCGACGGTCAGTGTGGTCATTCACTCGCTTAAAAGCTCTTAATGCTTTATATCAGTGAGTGGGATGAATTACAGCTGAGAGAGGTTTTAATCTGCTTCCTGAGGAAATCAAAAACACACACTCATCCTTCCTCAAACATTCTCATTTAATGTTTTTTTTTTTTTTTTTTTCTCAAATGGTCACAGAATCATTTTTGAACATGAGTTTTAAAAGCTTTATTACGTTCGCTCCATACACCGGTAAACACCAGCATGATGTTGATTAATCTACTGCTGCTAAAAATCTCATTTCAAACCCTCCATGTAATTAAATACAACAATATGATGTGTTCACCTGCTTTAAATGCAAATAACGTTTGTTACAAGAGTCAAGTATCATTTTCCTGATGCCAGAGGGTCTGTGGCCGGTCGTACAGAACACCCTGTTTGGTTCAGTTCAATCAAACTCAAGTTCATTTGGCCCCTCAGTGCGGTTTGTTTGGGCAGGTGTGAACACAGCAATCACAGTCAGGTGTGCACCAAAACAACCAGACTGAGACCTTCTTGAAGAGGTGGTCTCAGTCTGGTTACAAATGAACTCTGGTGCGGTTAGTTTTAGGATTATTAATGTGCACCTCCTCCTGTACTGCCTTAATATGCACATTCAGCACATCCAATGCATCAAAACATTGTTTTCTAGTTGGAGCCGCGCCTCGTTTTCAAACTGTATGGTTTGACTAAAATGAACAATGACAGCAATATAGTCCACGATGAGCAGCACTAAAATCAACCTGCGTAGTTGTCCCTCCATTGTGACATTAGAAAGTGTCACATTTATCTTGCAAGTGTACTCTTCTTCAACGTTTGCTTTACTTCCTGGATTTTTCCCACATGGGAATTCTGACCAATCAAGAGCAGCTTTCTCACACAAGGCATTTGATCTGGTCCTCTTGTAAATGCTGCCGTGAGAACACGAACCAACTCTAGGTAATTATACAACTTTGGAACAACATGAGTCCCTGATTCAGACCAAAGGAGATGACTCTAAGGTTTCTTAAGGTTTCCTTAGCTGAGGAAATTACTTAAGGGTGTTGCACAGAATCTCTTAAAAGGTTTCCTTAGTCAAGGACAGAAGTTAAGGCCCCGATCACACAGAAGGCATTTCAGCAGCTGGGGGCAGCTTTTAGTAATTTTTTAAAATGACAATGAAGCTTTTTGCTCGCTGTTTTTGCTACGCGCCTCATGTTTCTGCGATCTAGGAGCGTGGTCTATTTGTCGGAGCGTCTTGCCTCAGCTCGGTTGACTGCGTCCTTGATATCAGCGGTCTTGGTTGAGCAGGAATCCCTGGCACGTCTCAACTTTACTCTCATCACTGGCACTAACAGAAGGACTTTACTTCAGATTGTCCTTTAATGTCTCATTGCTTCTGTACAGATGCTGAAAAATAATTTTCAAATGATTCCAGAAACACTTAAAACTTTAAACTTTAAGAACTTTTTCCACACAGTACAAGGGGACATGTCTCATATGTGTCAAAACACCCATTGTTTCCTATGTGAGGCGACACGTCTACAGCGCCTTGAAGTGTGTCATTAAATGTTTGATGTATGTCAATCTGTCAGAATACGCCGCCCATCATCGACACGTGTCAGCTCTCCATATTATCAGTCATTTTATCACATTTGTCTCCCCATCTTTGGCACATCCCCCCTGCTGTACCCTGACTACAGATCCAATATTTTAAGGTGATGTTTTATTTTACAGGTCCGTAATTTGCTGGTTTTCAACAAAACGGAGACATTATTCTCCATATTGAAAACTTTTCTCCTTCTTTTTCCTTTTCCTCATTTTCCCCCAATTTATTTATTTATTGTCTTTTAAATATAGTTTTAATGTATTATTAGTGTATTAAGTATTACATTTAATGTATTTTGATGTCCCTGTAAAACACTTTGAATTGCCTTGTGCCTGAATGCTGCTATATAAATTTACTTGTCTTTTATTAAAACACCAATTTTCCCACCTCCCACAAGCATAAACATTTTAGTGAAATGCGCCTATAGTTTCCTCAAATTGTTCTAAAAAGAAGACAAAAACAAAGAAGAAACTTAAGGGGTGTAACATGTTTGGATTTTATGGGTATGAGAAATAACTGTTAAACCTTTCATACACGCTGTCTCTTGACCAAATTTCTATAAATATTTGATTAATTTCTGACAGCTGTTTCAGGAATAGATTTCTCTCCACTGAAGCCTGGGAGTGCGAGACCAACAAACAAGCTGAGGGTGAAAACTGTAGAGCTGGACGTTTCCTGGCTCGGCGCCATCACAGTGACGGTGGGCAGACGGACAGGCAGGTCGATACGGACCTCTGAGTCAGGACTTCACCCACCCACCCCCACCCCCCCCTCACTTAATGAGACGTCTTCTGGAGGTAGACGCTCAGAAAGACGGGGAGAAAATGAGTACAACAGAGACGAAGGCGGAAACGGAGAAAGACGCCGAGAGAAGCAGAAAAAGAGAAAATGGATTGATGAACGGGTGAAGAGGTGGCGGAGGGAGAGAGAGATGGAGAGCTTGGCTGCTGCTCACTCTGATTTTCATGGTGCCAGACTATTGTTCTCCTCTTCTTTTTCCTGACTCACTGAGACGAGGAATAGACTAGATAAAGCATTTTAAGGAACAGAGGCAGCAGACAGTAAGAAAGATTATTCCAATAACTGTGGAGTGAAACTGCCTGCTGCTCTGAGCTGCTGCTGCGACTCATATACAATCATTAACACTGATGTCCGAGGAACTGTTCTGGTTCTGTGTCCAGTCCTGCTCTGGTCCCAGTTGTGTCTTTAACATGGTGTCAAACAGAGATTATTTTCATTTAGGTGCAGGACCAGGACCAATATTACTAAACACCAGGGGTGTGCCATATCATCTCGTTCATTATAACATGGGAACATTTTTAATATCATACGAAAAACTGATGTTGTGATACTCGCCATATTTCAACTTGTTGACATATTGACGTCATACTGTTACCCATGGCAACAACAAGCATGGCTGAAAGTGAAATTATTACCGGCTGTGCAGTGGTTCTAAAAAGAGGAGCAGCTTCAGTAGTGTGGAATAAACTGTGGCGTCCTGAATGTTTTACTTCTCTTAGCGCTCAGAGGGAACTCATTCAGCGGCTCCTCTGGCAGCAGCAAAGCATCAGTGTCATCAAGTGATTTTCTCATAAACCTTTGGTGATGTAAACCTACGTGAATAATCTCCATATATGTGAATGTGTGATAGTTGTGGTATCATAACAGCCTGTCACAGGTTACAGCCTGATGATTAGAGGAGAAATGGCAGAGCATAAAGGTCCAATCATTTAGGATTTTACTAAAAGAAGGAAATCACCTGTTGATTTATATATATAGATCCCAGGGGACATTTTTTTGTATTTGGGAGCTGTTTAAATGTGTAATTAGTGGTAGATTTTATTTTAAAGGGCCCTGGGTTGGAATCAAACCCCGGCCGCTGCAAAGGATGATTCTGCTCTTCCACATTGTTATTTGGGCAGTCACAGGTCCATCTGAAGCGATTAAATATGTGAGGCAAGAAGACAGAAGAAGAATCCGGCAGCAGCTGGACTAACCTGTTATTTTTCAGCAGGAACCACAGTGAATCTGACACGTGTAAACCACGATGTAGCGACATCGGTCTGACTTTAAGTGTCAGTCTCACTCATGACAAGCACGGTTGATTGGCATCATTTCCTGTCAGTCTTGCCCTGTTCGCTGGGTGTGCTGCGTGGCCACAGAAATGTCCAAAATGTGCCACCACATCATGAGTCGTTATGTTTCGCACACACTGGAAGAGCGGCAAACAGTGTGTTTAACGCACTTCATCTGGACCATGGATCTGTTTTGACCGCTTATATATATATGTATCCATATGTGTGGGCAGCTGTGGCTCAGAGGTAGAATGGGTTGTCCACTAATTGGAAGACCGTGTGGTCGGAGAAAGGTGCTTTACAAGTGCAGTCCGTTTACCATGTGCAGCACTTTAATGTTAAAATATTGCACTGGATGCAGCACGTAAACATTTTAAGACCCATTTTTGTTGTAATATTGTCTGTCAAAGTGAAACTTTGTCGATCCTCAAACAGCTTTGTATCCTTACAACGTGGGCAGTACATGCAAATGAACAGCACTCAACCTTCCTTCATGTTGCCAGCTCTACGCTCATCCGCCAGCAAGATTTCACATCATCCGCACCACTGCCGACAAAAGAGCGGAGGAGCTCCGGGCGCTGGCAACACGGCGGGAAGCCAAACGCCATTCATCTGCACACACCTCCCACACTGCAGTGACACAAAGCTGGATGAAAATCAGCAAAGTTTCCCTTAAAGTCAGTCTGTGTGTGGATTGTAGCTGAAGAAAAGTGGATCCTAGCCAGACAGACCAGGGGTCGCATTATTAAAACAGTGCGTAGGATCCATACTAACAGCATACGTGCGGACAGAAGCAGAAAGCAGCGTGTGCCAAAAAATATTCTGATTTATAAAACCATGTGTGCGCCTGCAATTTCCCTTGATAAATCCAAAATCAACTTGGTATTGTCAGCACGAGGTTCAGCCTCATATCCCGCCCTCTACACACCCATGCTTTACTATAAATGGTCGATGCAGAGCTCCTACAGAGTGTCACCGCAGTATCTATATGTTTACACCATCAGTGCGTCACAACTCGCAAAAATGATCGTGACAATCAGTGTATCCCCGACCCTGGGATATCATCTGAAGATTAAACTTTGATAGCCAAACACAATTTATTTATATATATAAGTTTGTTTTGGTGATGTTGGTCTGATCTCTATGATTACGACTCATAGTCAGGATGTAGTTTAATAATTGTTTGAGAGCTGCTGTCACCTGCTTCATTTCCAGACTTAACTAATTTACACAGAACATATATGAAGGTGGTGAAAATGGACGTAATTCGACTGGAGAAGGAGAAGTGTGCAGCAGCCACCTCAATGTTTCCAGTGCGCTCTGTGGTTGCACAATTGTGCTCATTGCAGTGATGTTGAAACAGGCAACTACTTACAATGCTCTGTTCTGCAACGTTCTAATAAGATGCCGATTCACAGGAAGTGACCACGATGAGACGGTGTATCATCTCTAGTCAACAACTCTCTGTACTTCTGATCTGATTTGCAGCTTTTCAGACTCATTTTGTGGCTGAATATAATTTGTAGCTTCTTAAAATCTGAATGAGGATAGTGATAGTGAGATTCTGGCTACAGTGATGAAACAAAACCAGCATCAGATGGACTGTATTCATAATCAATACGCCACAAATGTTTACGTTTACAAATGAGACCCCTGCTCTGTCAGTGTCGGACAATCAAAAATAATAAACTTGATCAATTACAATCATTTATTCCTCCTGATTGAGAATGATTATTAATGAGTCAAATGACTTATTCTTGAAAACTGTTGTGGCTTTAATGTTCCCTCATGTGGTGTGACTCAGCAGGCAGATCCTGGTACATCGCTGCCCACGCTGCAAACGCATCCAAACTGATTTGTAAGGCCCTTTCATCCACCAAATGGTATCTGTTATCAGCAATGGTCGCTTTGATTCTGTGGTTTTGGCTCAGCGCTGCTGAATGAACTCAGACTCTAAGTTGCCAGGTTTGTACCTTTGAGGCGGATGGTGATGCGCTGGCTGAGGGGCTTTCTGACCAGGTCCCAGGGGGATAGAGGCAGCTCCTGATCTGGCAACCACTCGGTGTCACCTGGAAGAGACGAGCAGAGACACACTGTGAGACACACTCACACAAATAACTGGACACACACTCGTTCAAATAAGCTCAAAGATTACAATATCAAACACTATGAAACACAAGAGAATGCCACTGACTTACACAAACACAAAATATTATAGATGCAGTATCTGCATTAAATATGGAATATGCATAAATTATAAGGACCACAATGTATAATTTATCTGGATGTCCCATATAATGTAGCATAAAGGCTTTTCTGCTGCCTTGCTCGCATTATGTGAAGTACAGAATGTACTTTTCTGAGGGAAATGCTACAGAGATGCAACATTAATACACAGAATGTTCTCCTCCTCTGATATACGAAGCAGAGACACAGCAGGGCTGCTGCTCTCACAGGGTCTAATTAGAGCAAACATACATCACATCAGGACATGATGCATCTGAAGAGGAGATTTAGCATTTAAAATGTAAAATGTCTTTACTGGAAAATGAATCAGGTCTTTTTTTTTCTAGTGTTTGAAAAGCATTCACTGTGGGACTGAGACTGATTTTGAATATACTGTAATTTATTGACTGAAACTGTAACTGCAATATCGTTTATGTTTTTAGAGGGGATGTTGATTTTTACAACATTACTCTCATTTTCACTGACAAACACATTGAAGTGATTATGCTGTGATTTCTGCAGGTATATCTTCATAACAAAGGTCTTTTCTTAAGGCCCTGACACACCAAGCTGACAGTCAGCAATCAGTCATGTTGGGCCGTCGGTGAGCGTCTGCTGCCCAAGTCAGCGCAAGGTGTCCCACACTGACGGCCCCCGTTGGCCCCCGTGGGCTTTTCGCTGATAGTCTCCATCCATGTCAGTGAAAACATGGATGCTTCACACACAGAAGATCTATACAATCAGCACGGTTTCAAGATTAGAGTCACCAATTGACCTATGGCTAAGTCCCGCCCTCAAACGTGATGAGCCAATCACAGTGCGTATAGCCATTCCCATACACTGGGACATTCTCTGCCTGGACGTCCATTGAAATGCATTACAGAAAGTCAGTTTTGTTCGGTTTTATGAGCTTTTTCTGAGATTTGAAGTTTAAAAATGGTCGAACGGTGTGCATGGGGTACATGCAACTCTGACACAAGGTATCCTGAGAGGCTGGGCGACCAGGTGTATTTTTTACACTTTAAACCACATCTCAACCGAGAAAAGTGTCTCCTTTGGATAAAGTTGTGTGGTAACGTTAGACCACAACATCAACTCAACGTGAATAAGATTAACAATGATGTCTACATCTGTTCTAAGGTAAGTCAACATTGTGTTTGAGGCAACATATTGTCACTTTGCTGGAAAGAAATATAAAGTTATCTTTAACATCTCTAGCTAACGTTAGCTAAAGTTAGCCTAACGTTAGCTCCTAGCTGCGTTGTTCATCATGTCACCTTGTTTGCTGGGAGTTCATTAGCCTATTTTGTTCTAGTTTTGTACTTTGGTGATCGTACATCATTGTTAGCTGTTGTCCAAAGGGCTCTAGTTAAGCTAACGTTAACTTCTGGAGCTTAGCTTCATTAACTTATCTGTAATGGCAGAGATAACAAAGGTTGGCAAACGTTATGCTGAATGATTCAGTGTAAATACTGTAGCACCAAACTAACGGAGAGACACTCTTGGTAAAGATGGTAAAAAGGCCGTTATCCTTTTCTCATATTCTGAGCCAAAAACCTTAACTTCAGTGGCACTTTAACTTGTTGTCTTTGATGGTGACGGCAACCAGATGCGGTTCACAAGCGTACACTGTGACCTGTAAATTTTGGCTTGTAATTTAAGCTTTTCATCGACCTTCTCAACAATAAAATGATGAATATATCCCTCCAATGCGTAGTTTAGGCCCTTTTGGTTACTTCTCAATGACATCTGATCGTTATGTCCCCAAAAACCATCAGTTGCCTCCTGTGAAATGCCGTGTACTGTGACACCTGCCATAGCGCCGCTCACTGAATGTTGATAGTTTGTCCGAGTGCATGGAGGGGGGCGTGGCTTAGCCATAGGTCAATTCAGTATCTGACCAAATGTCTCCCCTTCTGTTCCTGAGATATGATGTTAAAACATGATGATGTCACAGTCAAGCTGACCTTTGACCTTTTGGATATAAAATTTCATCACTTAATCATATTTGTGAGATTTTGTCATAATTAGTTTATGAATTCTCGAGTTATGGCCAAGAACTTTTTGTGAGGTCACACTGACCTTGACTTCCACGACAAAATTTTAATAAGTTTATTTTTCAGTCCAAGTGGGGGTGTGTGTAAAAATTATTTAAAAAAAATTCCCATAAGGTGTTCCCGAAGATCTAAGGTCTATAAGAATGAGACAGATGCAAGGTCACACTGACCTCTGACCTTCGACCATAAAATTTGAAACAGTTTATTGTCATTTCCAAGTGAATTTTTGTGCCAAATTTAGAGAAATTCCCTCAAGGAGCTTTGGAAAGATCACGTTCATGAGAATGAGACAGATTAAGTCAAGGTGACCTTGACCTATGTTCACCAAAAACTAATCAGTGCATCCTTGAATCCAAGTGGACATTCGGGCCAAATTTGAAGAAATTCAATGGGGGTTTTCTTGAAATATTGTGTTCACATGGATGGGACAGACAAAAGGACAACCTGAAAACATAGTGCCTGAGGTGGCGCGGCGGCATAACAATCTTGTTACACAAATTAAGATTATTTTTCTTTAATCATCAAGCTCTTAAGCAGAAATACCTGCCTGATGCTGATCAGAAACACTGCTGATATGGATTCTGTTCATAAACAAATTAACTAACAAAAAAAAAAAAAAGTCCTGCGCTGAACCTTCAAATGCACCTTCAATCAGAACAGGAAACACTGAAAGGTTTAGGTAGATCTAACTGATATGGAGGATGTTACAACTAAAACACTGGCTGGATGTAAATGAAAACAAGTTTCTGATCGACCTGATGAAAGTCGAACTGACTGAAATGTCATAAATTAATAAATCTACCATCAGTGTGACAGCGTGCAGGAGTTTCCTCATTTGTATTCTAGCTGTGCTTCCCTCTGACTCACCTGGATCATATTCACATGATCAGAGAAGTAAAAAAAAACAAGTAAACGTTAACAGTCTCCACATACTGTTAAACTTTGAGCTTTTCCAACATTGTTCTGTGGACAGAAACATTGTGGACTTACAGAAAGGCCACAGAGGGGCTGACGACTCAGCCTGAGGCTCAGTGACAGACGACTCCAATTCTCCACTCCACAGTAAACTCATAAAACTTCCAGAAGTGGTGGTTTAATTCTCCTGTGCTGAAATACAGTACAAGTCTCCATTTATACTGAAAACTCACCAAACTACTGCTGCACTTTGGTTTCATCCCCCAGAGAAACTGTGCAGGAAGAAGTTGGAGGTTTTTCTCTCTCATTGCAGATCCAACTTTATGAAAAATGAAATTCCATTTTTACAAAGAACTAACACTGCTGTCCTGTAATAAGTAACTGCAGAGTGAAAGTAAAACAGGAGGAACACTGGAACCAGCTGTGTAGAAAGTCAGGCTCCAAATAATTATCTTAATTATCAATATAACGGTTATCTTTGAGAATAATCAACTCATACTTTTGCCTTTGAAATGGAATAAAATATTGAAAAAACATCCCTATCATGATTTTATCCAGAGGCCGAGCTGACATCTTTAATCTGTTTGTTTTAACCATCAGTCCCAAACTCAAAGTTACTCAGTTTACATCAGTGGTTCCCAACAGGTGCAGCCACGGGGTCCTGATTTGTCCTCAGTCATTAGTTCAAGGTCCACACAGTGCAAAATATTGTCAATCAGCAGCTGTATCAGACTTCTGTCCTAAAACCATATCGATGGAACCCTATTGCTAAGCCACTGCCAGAGTTTAGAGCTGTAAATGTTTGTAGGGTACGCGATAACTTCACCTTGTTCATCAGTAGCTTCCACTTTAGTTTGGTGTGGTGATGCCAGCTTTACAACACAGGAGTAGAAACGTATTGAAAAATGCTCATGTATTGACTGTGAGTGGTCGACTGACTGAATGTGGAAAAACTGAGACATCTCAGGTTGTTCATCATCTGTTCTGTAAATGGACGAGTATGTTCGGAATGTCTTTACGTCTTGACACTAAAAGAAAGAGAAACATTTGGTGTTGTTATTTACAGCTTACTGGGCTGTGGTTTTACTGGTCCAGCCCAGTTGACATCAAATTGAGCTGAATGTGGCCCATTAACTAAAATGAGTTTAGCCTACTTTACACTACATGGTTCAAGTGACCCAATTCCGATTTTTTCCTCTGAAGTGGCACAGATCGGATCTGTAACATGAACGTGTAAACAGGAAAAAAACGAATGATATCGGATATTGTCAGATCAGATTCAGGCCTCCTTCATATGTGGAAATATATCGGATATGAATCAATCTGCCAACAGGTCTGTAATCTAAACAGACAGATTGGATATTTCCTGGAAATCCACGTCATACGTCATGAATAATGCGACGACAGTGCATTTTGATGACGTGCTCATGAGCGAGGGAAAGGAAGGAAAGCCGAATAAATCGCACGTCAATCATAAACTATGAACCAAAAAAGCACAATCTATCCCGAGTGAGACAAACTGCTTGATCCCCGTCTCCAGTGTACCAGCAGAGAACCTGCAGAACCGAATCAGCGAAAAAACACACCGGGCTACACAGCCTCTCTACCTGAGCAGCCGAAGCTACGGCTCGCACCCTCGACACA